TGTTTGTTTGTTTGTTTGTTTTTGAAATTAAGCACAAAGCTACACAAAGGGCTATCTGTGCTCTGCCCACCACGGGTATCGAAACCCGGTTTCTAGCGTTGTAAGTCCGCAGACATACCGCTGTGCTACTGGGGGGCAGGAGCAATAGTTCTGTTGGTCTTGTTAATCGGACTTATTTAAAAGGAAAAACAAGGTAGTTAATATGCAAAATAATTATGTATAATCTGTAGAATTCCCAAAAGTCTTCATCTGTGTCCCCTCCTGTTATAAATAGACAATGCTGTTCATCTTAAGTATTTTTATCCTTTGTATTGTGAAACTTCGTTTTTCCTCCGGTCACATCGATTGTATGTATAAGTTGGGGGGAAATAAATGCACGTATTTCTCCACTACAACTCAATTCGAAGATTGCAAAGTTGCATTTATTTCCCCTTAGTTCAACTGAACCGGAACTACTACATGCGAACCAATCTTTCAGTAATAATTGAAACAAAGTTGTTTTTTATATCTCTTTGCTATAAATGAATGATGTATCGGTTGTCTTACCTCATGAATATCATTACAGTTTTAGAGGGTAATCGGCACATTTTACGAAAACTGATTTGTTGTACTGCATTTTACGCGATGGTTTTTAATAGAATCAATGAGCAGATCAATAACCTGCTACGCAGTATTCGTAAAATATGATGTAGTTCTTGAACGTTCCGAATGCTAAATAACAAGCAGTTCCGTAACTATCCGTAAAATATGATGTAGTTTTCTAGACAGATATACAATATTTTTTATTATATTAATGTGTATATATGTATATTTCCAAAGTGGGCTGTACAGGTTTTGATTTGTAAACTCAAACTAATGAAACGAAAGAGCATATAATAGACTAAAATGTTATTTTATTTTTACCCACATGTGTGTTACGCAGTGGATTATGCTGGTGTATTTCAATATCATTTATGCGTACGTGTATCTTATGTTGCTATAAGATTTCCATTACATTCAAAAATAGCTTGGAATCCCCATGGAAAGTTTGTCGCTAGTATATATTGATAAATGTGGAAAAAAAAAGAAGAAAAAAGATGTGTGTTTGGCTAGTCAGTGATAGTTTCAATAAAACCGCTGGGTTGGAAATCATAACCAGGGCAGTGCGATCATTTCTCACCACTAAACTGTGGTCGGTGACAAAACACCTCTCTTGTGGACCGAGGCTGACTAATTTGTTGTAAATTACTCGTATATTTTCACTATATTTTTATTTTCTTATATTACTGTTGAGGTATATTCGAAAGCAGTTCTCTTTAGACGTTTGTTTGTTTGTTTTTAAGTATGCACAAAGCTACACAAGGGCTATCTGTGCTCTGGCCACCACGGGTATCGAAACCCGGATTCTACCGTTGTAAGTCCGCAGACATATCGCTGTGCCACTGGGGGGCCTTTTTAGACGTTTGTCTTCTAATGCTGAATAGGTTAAAGCTTTTAAAAACCACCATGCTTCTTTATAGTGGAAGTACAAGATAGATAAGATACTTCGGTACATTCAAATTAGATTGAAAACAATAAAACTAGCGCGTAGAAGTCTTAAACATTCCTATTTCATTCAAGGTTTTAAAATTATATGTACACAGTTATTGTTTGCTTTCTTTTTTTTTTGTACATTAAGAGTCTGTTTTGCTCACCGCAGGGTTCGAATCCTGAAATTTGGTGTTATAAGCCCTCAGACTTGCCGCTGAACTACAAGAGGC